GTAGAGTATGCAATAAATCAAATAAATTTTAGATTTATATAAATTTGTTGCACGTAACAAACAAAAAATTATGTTTTCTAATAATAAAATGTAAAAATATTTAAATGTAGTTATCATCTACAAATAAATAATATTGTTACAAATATAATAATAAAAAGCTTTTTTAATATATCAATTTTTTTTTAAAAAAATAGATAATATAGTAAGTTTAAATATTACATTTAGTTAAACTTAACTCTGTAAAATATATATTAATGGGTTTATGTTATAAAATTAATAAAAACATATAGAGATTTCCACCATAGCATATAGTTTTAATTAAAATATTTTTATTAGTTAATTTAAATGATCTATTCCTTAAAACCTTCATTAATAATACATATGATTTTTTTATCAAATCTCTATTCAATTAATATATAGAGGATTAGTGGCATTTTGAAGAAAAATTCAAAATGATGACATTTTTGAAAAGTGACATTTCTAAAAAATTATCTGCATTTAGTCTAAGTATCATGCAAATTAAATTTTGTTAAATAAAATATATTTATCTATACTGGAGATATATCTTTGTTATTTGTAATTTCTCCCGTATATAAAAAATAATGAATTTTTTTTGGATATTTTAATCTCGTATTTAACGCATATCAAAAAAATCTAATAGTCATTGAAAAAAATATATTCTCGCATATACTTTATATTTATTAAATAAAATCTTTCATATTAATTACCACATATTCCTTGTTTTCATATTTGGTTAATAGTTATATATTGTATATGTGATATAAATTTAGTCTAATTATTTACACAGTAATGTTATTAAGAAATTTTAATAGTTTTCCTTAAAAGTTCTTTAAAACCCTCTTTGGATGACACCTATGATTTTCACTTAGTGTCACCTCTATTAATATATAGAGGATTATGCGAAATTGTTGTTTGCTTCATGCAAAAATATTGGGTCAACTTTTGTACAACGTGTGATGTTTCAAATCAGATGTTTTATTCCATGAGTTTGCCCAAACGACAATCTTTGCAAGAGCTCTTGATCTCTATGAGAGAACGATCAAGAATGTGTTAGAATATCAATCCCATGATCTCAGGCACTTGATACAGATTTGTCCATTACTCTGTAATTCCTCTTTGTATCTCTGTTTTTAGTAAAGTGGATTGCCTATGTTTGAGTATAGATTGTTATAAAAGACCTATGATTAATGACATAAAATAACTCCCAATATTTTTCTTCATCTTCTTGTCACAATGACACCAATATCTGAATAAATTGTGTGTGAATGGTATCAATATCAATTCCCACAAGTTTGTGAATACTTGCAAAATGATTTTAATATTTTCAAAAACATTCCAGAAAATGGAAACAGATTGTAAGAAGAAAACCGCTGAAATAATAAAGATACAACTAAATCAACACTAAACTGAAATTTACTAGTCTTGGAATAGCAGCTGGTTCTACTAATATTGCCTTAGCTTGCATTATGGTTGTATATTTTCAGCGGGTTACACAACATCCACCTATGCAGAAATTTAAATCAGTGTCTTCCTCGAATCGAAGAACGATATCAGACCATATCTCTTTGGAGATAATGGTTTTCCCCTTCTTCTCGATGGAGATACTAGTAGCATAAATTGTCTTCTTGTTTCTCCAGAATACTAGTAAATTCTCGTTGCAGCAACAACACTCAAAGGCTTCTCCACCAGTCTTGCAAAACCACAAACTTCCCTCCATGTCATATTTGAATCATCATAAGCATGAACGAGTTTGCCAATGATTCATTATTGGAAAACATATATTGTTTTACGTTTGTAATGTCCAATAAATTCAAATAAAAATAAATTTTTTATACGTAAAAAATAGAAATAAATAACATTTGCATTTGATCAATTTACAAATAAAAGTATTAAAACTGATAGTATTAACATAAGTTTGATCAAAAGTATTCAGATTTATTATGCACAATAATACATATAATTTTTATTTAAACATTAAAATTTTATATGCTTTGTCATATATGTTTAAAC